AGTATTTGGCAGGTTTATTTAACTTTGCAGGGGGTCTTTTAAATTGGAGCTTGAGCTATTGGATTCTGTGAATAATAGTTTTTATTTGTAGCGCTACCCCCAAAGAAGTCAATGGTGATTGGGCCTATTTCCCCCTATACAGCATTCACAGCCAGGCACAATGTATTTTCCACACACTTTACCATACTCAATAATCAGTCTAGGGGTTTTGTTTTTGGAGTTTTATTAGGGAATGATGATCTTGGATAGGGTTGGGAGCATGGGATAAATGTAAAACTGTAGAACATGAACAGCTTGAGGACTGCTAAACCTTTGGCTGTTCTGTACAGGTTGCAATCTGTATTTCACAGCTTTAGGCTGCAATACACTTTGTCCTGGTTACTAATAGTAGTACAGAAAACTCATGCAGACACCTCACCTGAGAACTGGTAAGCTGCAATATATTACATTTTTTGGGGATGATTTAATTACACTTTCATGCAGCAGCTAAGAAGAGAAAAGCAAACATGCAAGTGGAAGCCCAGAGCTCCACATGCTGGGTGTAAATGTACTGTAATTATAAAATATTTTATTGTATATCCCTGAATAGAGGCAGTAAAAAAGAAAATGTACACTAAAACATTATGCATACCCTTAAAATCCCAATAGGCTACTGAGTCAGCAAGTAAGCAAATTTCATTTTTCTATTTTATTTTTCGAATGTGCCTATTAAATGTTGTATGGGCTGATTCACTTTTTTTTTTTTTCATTTTTAGCCCTTGTATGACACTGGACATTTCCAAACTTATACACAGCATTCTCTGTTTGGAAATCTGTGCTGCCATCTGGATAGGCCCTCACAGAAGCAGTAGAAAGTCTGAGATTACAGCAGGTCATTTTACTTCAAAGCAACTAAGATGTCAACAAAGTTAAACCAGTCTCTTTTATGTCATGGTTGGTGATCTGTGCATCAGATATTTGTTATCTTACCTTTTTTTCCAGGAACAGTTTAGCACCGTGTCTTGTTAGCGTAACCTTTTTCAGAACCCCAGAGTTTCTTATGGACAGTTAAATATATACTAAAGTCTTATTTTTTTTTCTAAAAAATACCAAACATGTCTGTACTTACCTGCTCTGTGCAGTGGTTTTGCACAGAGCAGCCCGGATCCTCCTATTTTCGGGTCCCCTGGCCCCTCCTTCCTGTCGGGTGCCCCCATAGCAAACAGCTTACTATGGAGGCACCCAAGCAGGCGCACTCCCGAACCGTGGCTCTGCGTGTCCATTCAAACACAGAGCCACGTTCTGAACCCCGCCCCTCCCTCTCCTAATTGGCTCACTGGCTGTGATTGACAGCAATGGGAGTCAATGGCTCCTACTGCTGCCTAAGCCAATCAGGAGTGAGAGTCTCTGGAGAACCAAGACATTACTGGATTGGGATGGGGTTCAGGTGTTAGGAGGGGGGCTGGGGGGGGGCGCAACACACAGAAGGTTTTTTTACCTTTATGCACAGAATGCATGAAGGTAAAAAACCTTGACACTTTAGAACCATTTTAAAGCTGAACTTCAGATATGATCTTTGTTGCATAGTTACAGTACATTGGTCCAGCCTGGCACAATGTAAGTATGTACATCTCATACCTGAGGGGGACTGCCATGACAGGTGACAATCACTGTAGTAGTCACTGCTACTACAGTGATTGCCATGATTTTCCAGGTCCTGTGTTGAACAGCTGTCCTTCTGCATTGTGACTGCAGAGGGGCACTTGCTTGGCATCACCACCATTCACAAAATGTCTTGTATTTTTTAATAAATACAAGACTTTGGACAAGGTGGAAAGACAGGGTGGTGAAATCATAATCTCAACCTTGTTCATTTAGAGAATGTCTTATATTCATTGAAAAAATACAAGGTGTTCTGTGAATAGCTGCAGGGTTGAGCAAACCATTCCACTTATGGCCAATAAGCAGAAGGGCAGCCATTCGGCATATGGCTTGGAAGATTGTGCATGCATACTTACTTCGCTGGACCAATGTTACTGTTCAATAAAGGTCATACTTGGAGATAAGCTTTAAAGTGTATCTAAATCCAAGATGAATATAGTGCAGTTTACAGTCCTTAGATGTGGGGACTGAATTAATTCTTTTTTTTTTTTTTAAGCTTTTTCTTCCTTTCTTTTTACCTGTACGCTAGTAATACACTTCCTGTCTCAGGGTGGCTACTCTCACTCCTCCACCTAAGAAATAGGAGCAAAGCCACCCTTGGACTGCAGCTTTGGAAAGGATGTTGTTAGGTGGACTAGTGGATTTAAATGAACTTTACTTACAAGTGACTAACACATTAAAGCCTAACTCCAGCTAACACTTTTTAAACCACTACAGCAACAGTTTGTTTTTCCATTTGGGATAAAGATATTATATAAATGAATTAACGCTGATCATTGTAAGCACCCCTGGCACAAAAAAAAGAAACGGGCCCCTGCGGGGTTTAAGTCATAATGTACTAGTATGCATCGCTTACTAGCACATTATGACAGACTTACCTGGATACGGAACACTCCAACACAGCACTGTCGCAGCTCCAGGTACTGGCATCAACACCCGGTCTTCCTTCTGGGTTTGCGGACTCCGGCTGTATGAATGGCTAGGGCCGTGATGACATTGCATTTAGAATATATTCACTGCTCTTATAGGTAAGCCTTATTATAGGATTAGCTGTAGGTACAAGTTAAAAAGTGGACTTTACTTCCACTTTAAATAGTTTTTCTCAGCCATTTACCTGCCTTTTTTTTTTTTGCTGGACAGCTTGGTCTGTTAAAAGAAGTTGAAAAATAACGCTTACTGGCAGCATCAACAGGTTTTCCAACTATGTTAGAAGAGGATTTAAAAAAAAAGACTACTGATTTAATTCTAGTGACAACATATGTCATATATGTAATTTTTGAATTTACCCATAGTTCCACATTAAAGTGCATATAAATTCCATAGAACATTCGCCCAAGTATGTCGATTTATGGAACCTTTATTTGTATTGTTGCTGTGTTGGTGCTATATAAATCCTGTATAATAATAATAATAATTTTCTCCCTTTATATTGTAAAGCGCTGAGCAAACTGTTGGCGCTATATAAATCCTGTATTATCCTGTATTATAATAATATGTAGGAGCTACCAATGGCAGACTGAGCTTTCCTGGTGGGAAGGTCAAATGGCTTGGTTGGATTTTGCCTCTAAGATCTCTTTGGTTTTCACCCAAGAGGAACCAATGCATGAGATGTCTGCAGGGGCGGACTGACAACTCATTGGGCCCCTGGGCAATAGGGGATCATGGGGTCCCTGTGTCCTTGCCCAAACTCAAAAAAGCCTATGAAAAAGGTACCAGGGGCATCTTATGGGGCCTGCTACTGACCCCGGGCCCTCGGGCAGTGCCCGAGTTTCCAAATGGTCAGTCTGCCCCTGGATGTCTGATTAGATATTTAGCTCCTCTTCATAGGTTGATGTGGTCACTTATTGCATTGTAGGTTGTAGTGTTGACTTTTTGAAGAGTCTAGATTTGCATATTGCTAGATGCCTGGGTTTCAGAGGCTCCTTTCAGCAATGAGTTTTATCAATGAGCAACTTTTTTTTCATCTATAAACCTGGTTTTATCAGTTGTATATAGTGACAAGTGTACTTTAATTCTTGTCTTATCAAATTCATTTTCAGGCTGTTCAGATATAATCAGCAATACCCAGCATTGTACTCAGCTTACTAGAAGTCATTACACACCGTGTTTTAGCTCAGAACCTCCCACACAGTATGTCATCCTAGTCCATGAATAAGTCCGCTTGCTCTGTCTTTTACCATTCCGATAATATACAAGACCTTGTGCGACTGGAGCTTCGTGGCATTTCCCGTCTATCTGTTTAAGAACAGATTACTGGCACTTTGTCCTGTGCAGCTGATGCCAAGTCATCATTGGTGAAAGTCTATTTATATGTATGGAAGCACAAATACCTTTTGGTAACATGCCAAGTTGTGCATAACAGTATTAAGACGGATCAGGACAGGAGACTCTAAACTACTTGAGTTGCATTTGCACAAAATGTTACTCGTGCCTCTGGTAAAAGATTTAATGGTGAACGTCTAACCATGTTATTGGTTAAAAAATATGTCTCTAATGGCATTTTTCCTCACTTCTTATCATGCCAATTTTTTTTTTTTTCCTAAAAATTTTTAAAATATGAATGGTTGTCATGCAGCTCTCTCTCTCTCTCTGTCCCAATCATCTTGCCTTTCAATAACAGTATCTATATATCCCTGATGACATGAGAAGTGAGCAGCCACAAATGTAAAAGACGGATGCAAATGTGGACAGAAAATCTATTCAGAAGAAAAGACTCCAACTCTGTCCATCACTTTCTGTCTGCTGGGAGGGATAAGGCTGTCTCCTGGGATAGCTTGGTGCCTGCGATGACATGTGTGCACCCCAGTAGGGGTTCCCACAATTATCTGCAAGTAGACAGCCCCATTGAAAGCAATGGGAGACTACTGGCTCTCGCAGCTAATCATGCCCATTTACATGTAGTCTCTCATGCTGCCATCACATGTGATCGATCGGCCCTGGACGCAGGCAGCCTATAATCCACAGCCGATCAGTCACAGGTGATCGCAGCATAAGAGATCACATGCAAGTGGGTGCGCATTAATGAACTGTGAGAGCTGGCAGCCTCCCATTGCTTTCAAAGGGGCTGCCTATTCTAAGCTAATCACTGGAACCCCCGCTGGTGTTCTTGCATGTAATTGCAGACAGTGGTGCATTTGCAACAGCAATCAGAAGTGACTCATGTAGATAGCAGAGATAGGAGAGACAATCCAGAAATCAATCACTAGGTGCTTTGGAATTAGAGATGAGCGAAGAAATGAAAAATTCGATTCGACTGATTCGGCGAATTCGTGGACAATATATTCGATTCGAGTCGAATAAATTCGCTGTGAATTTTAACTTAAAAAAGGGTACAACTGTTTCTAGGCTTCAGAGAGACTTAATATTAGTGCAGAACACTGTACCTTTAATTTAAATGCCCCTTGGAGTCTGCTGGGGAAGAGAAAATAATACTGTCAGTCAGTATGACATGCAGATGAGTGCCGTCGATCTTAGAATCACCGCACACTTCACTCATTTGGGCAGTCACGGGGCCAAAACCAGAGTGTGGAGCCACAGTGTGGCGGTGGAGGCAGCAGCAATGGGAGGCCATACAGCACCCTATGACAAAAAATGGAAACCACCAGCAGTTGTGAGGAGACCTGAAAGTGGCACATGGCAGAGTGTGGCGATAGAGACAGCAGCAATGGGAGGCCGTACAGGGACCCATGACACACTCTGGACCTGGCAAGCAGCATGAGGAGGAGGCGGGGTACAGGGGCCCATGACAGATTACAGGCCTGGCAGCAGCATGAGGAGTCGGTACGGGGGCCCATGGCAGATTACGGGCCTGGCAGCAGCAATGGGAGGCCGTACAGGGACCCATGACACACTCTGGACCTGGCAGCAGCATGGGGGGAGGGTGGTACAGGGGGCCCATGACAGATTACGGGCCTGGCAGCAGCATGAGGAGGTTGGTACGGGGGCCCATGACACACTCTGGACCTGGCAGCAGCATGAGGAGGCGGTACAGGGGCGCATGACAGATTACGAGGCCTAGCAGCAGCAACTTGGTCAGGAGGACGTTCAGCTTCTGCACCGTCGGGTGTGTGCTCGCAAACTGTTGTCTCTTGGAAACGGATTCCAAGAAAGACTGCTGACGGAATCCGTGAAGAGGAGTAGCAGGAGAAGGAGCATCTGAACGAGCGGAATATGCCAACAAGCGACAACAGGGGCCCATGTCAGATTACGGGCCTGGCAGCAGCATGAGGAGTCGGTACGGGGGGGCCCATGGCAGATTAGGGGCCTGGCAGCAGCTATGGGAGGCCCGTAATCTGCCAGCACCCTATGACAAAAAATGGAACCCACCAGCAGTTTGAGGAGACCTGAAAGTGGCACATGGCAGAGTGTGGCGATGGAGACAGCAGCAATGGGAGGCCGTACAGGGACCCATGACACACTCTGGACCTGGCAGCAGCATGAGGAGGCGGTATAGGGGCCCATGGCAGATTAGGGGCCTGGCAGCAGCTATGGGAGTGCCCGTAATCTGCCAGCACCCTATGACAAAAAAATGGAACACACCAGCAGTGTGAGGGAGACCTGAAAGTGGCACATGGCAGAGTGTGGCGATGGAGACAGCAGCAATGGGAGGCCGTACAGGGACCCATGAGAGACTCTGGACTTGGCAGCAGCATGAGGAGGCGGTATAGGGGCCCATGGCAGATTAGGGGCCTGGCAGCAGCTATGGGAGGCCCGTAATCTGCCAGCACCCTATGACAAAAAAATGGAACACACCAGCAGTAGTGAGGAGACCTGAAAGTGGCACATGTTTGGGGCATGATTCATGGCGGATTTAGTCAGGTTGTGTCAGGAACTGGTGGTTTGAAATCCAGACTAATCCACGCCTGATTCATTTTCACAAACGTGAGTCTCTCCACACTTTGGGTGGACAGTCGTGTCCTCCGCGGAGTTGGCAATACCTCCTGCCGCACTAAACACGCGCTCCGATGCCACGCTACTGGCCGGGCATGACAGCCTTTCAAGGGCAAATTCAGCTAGTTGGGGCCAAAAGGTCAAGTTTCGTTGCCCAGTAGTCAAGGGGATTGTCTACCTCGGTTGGCAGGGTGCTGTCCAAGTAGGCCTAAGCCTGTTGTTTGAGAGGTCCTGCTCCAGGTCCACCTGCTGCTGAGCTGCTGCTGTGCTGCGGCTGGTTAGTAGTTTCCTCACTGCGCTGGTGAAGAAAGCTACTCAATCCATCGACTGCAGACTGAGGCAGCCGCTGCTGGTGGAGCTGCCACTGCTCCTACCACCCCACCCCTCCCCTGCTGCCATGGCAGCGGAACGCGGAGCGCACAGGGCCCACAGTGTCTGAGGATGGACGTTGGCGCAGACAGGCAGAGACCAGCTGACTACATAGGTGGTTTTTATAGTACGTTATTTTGGCCTCCCTCTCAGCAGGTGTGAAAAAGGCCACCATTTTTGAAACGGTAGGTAGCGAGGGGTCCAACAAGGTGGACAGCCAAAAGTCATCCCTCTGTCTGATGGGTTTTATTATTCGGCTGTCGCTACGCAAGCAAGCGAGCATGCTATGGGCCATTTGTGCCAAGGTAAGATGCGAGGGACTCCCTGCCTCCATCTCCACAGCATTACTGCCAAGGTGCGCCGTCTGGGTCTCTGTCTCCTCTTCCTCCTCCTCTACCAGATGCTCCTGTCCTCCATCCTGTCCGCTGACGTGGAAAAAAACCCACCCTTTTTCACTCTATAATTCATGAGCACCAATGTAGCTAACTCTACCTCCTCATCTTCTATTCTGTCCTGCCCCCACAGGGGTCATGTGGCACGTTGTAGATTCTGTGTCGTCACGGTCAATACCGCACCCCTGACCAGCCATTGTTAACAGCATTTTGTTCAAGGATAGGTGCAACAGAGGAAATGACGTCGTTCATTCCCATAGTCACTGACGACACTCACGAATAGCGTGGCCATCTCAAAGGGCGACTCTGAGCCAAGCGCATGGTGTTCACGGCATGTGCTGCCAATTGGCTGACATCTTAAGTTACACAGGGTAGTACCATTCATCCGCTTTTATCAATTAGGAAATCTGTGATGGCCTTTTGGCTGTTCGTTTAAGGTGCGTCTAACATATGTAGGGTTGAATTCCATCCTTGTTGCTTCGTCATCAGCACGTGGAGTCGGTTTTTATAGGGGCCCAGTGGCAGATTAGGGGCCTGGGCTGATGATATGGGAGGACCGTAATCTGCCAGCACCCTATGTCAAAAAATTCAACATCCAGCATTCTTGGTCTTCAGTTGTGAGGAGGACCTGGAAAGTGGCCAACATGGCAGAGTGTTGGCGTATCGGAGTCAGCTGCAATGGGAGGCCGTACAGGGACCATGACAGACTTGGACTTGGGGGGCAGCATGAGGAAAGGGGGGTATTTAGGGGCCCCTGGAGATTAGGGGCTGGCAGCAAACTATAGGAGGCCCGTAATTTTGCCAGCACCCCATGTCAAAAAATTCAACACACCAGCGTGTGAGGAGACCTGAAAAATGGAAATGGAAAAGGGTGGCGATGGGACCA